TGTGTGCTTGATTGTCCCATCTAATCTAAAGAGATGATGAATAACAATTTATCGAAGAATCCTTCCGAATGATAAAATTTGCTCGTTGTTCCTGGCACAGGCTGCCACAAACGCGACAAGAGAGAGTGAGCGTTGCAGCGAGCCGTATTCAAAGAGCAGTATATTGATTTGTAGTTCATCGTTACAAACTGCGTGTTATGCGTTGTTTGGTTTTATATGATCGATCAGATTTTGTTCACGATGTATCCGGACGGCACACACATAAACTTATTTTTGTAGTGTTTGTTAAATGATGGAGAAGGTGTGTATAAAATGCAAACATTTGTGTACGCCATTGATGTATGTATCGATTATTTCAGCAGCATCCATCGCCGAATTCGATCGTTCATATATTTCCACCGTGTGAATTCGCGACCGCATTTCTGCAGCGGAATTCACCAGATTTGTTTGAAACAATCCGACAGCAACGTGCTAACTATCTGTTTGTTGTGATCACATCAGCGAGTTAGATGGCTGGATGAACTGGTGCATGGGAAGGGTTGCTATGAGTGCATATGAATTTTGGTGGATATTGCTCATCGCCTTACAGCAACCAACTGATCGCTGTATAATGATAGACGACTGAACATTCTTTCGATTGGACAAAAATCGCGATATCAATTTTTATCTTTTAATAACATCTTGTATAATGAATATTCAAACAAGCAATTAGCCACTGCATTGACATCAGCTTATTATCACTACTGTCCCATCTGACGTTATCATTTATTGGATACTGCTGTCATAGGAAAATTTCTTCTAGATTATTATTATCGTTGTTGCTATTGCTTGTTACATATTGTTCTTTTGAATTGACTTGAGCATTGATTCTAAATTTTATAGTGTTGTTGTTGTCATATGCAAAAGATGGAAAAATTTAAGCAGTGGATCGGTGTATATTTATTATGCGAAGAGGAGTGGTTTTTTAGTTGTATTTCTTACATAATTTGTTTTTATCGTCATTGCTTTTATCGTTATCATCATTACCAGTAATTTTACGCAATTGCTGCTACCGTGTTTACGTTAATTGATTGCAAATTATATATTATAATAAGATTCTTCTCAATATGAGACGTATGATATTTATGTTTGACGTTCATTTATTGGTTTTTATTTGAGGTGAATTTAAATTTCGATGGTCGGTTGATGAGCAGTGCATGATTAATAATTGATTTAATATCATTATGGTTATCGTTACTTATGTTTAATTGAAATATTGTTTTTTGTTGATTAACTCATTGATTCAGCAGTACAGTTTACTGTCTCATTTTTGCAAACATTCAATTGAATTGTTGTTTTGTTCGTTTTAAATACTTATCCAGTTCAGTTTCTTATATTTTTGTTCAATTTCGTTTATGTTCTTTTCCCGTTAATTATATCGACGCTGTCGGTCGCTCGTTTGGTCTCGATGCTTCCCCTAGCTCAAAGCGCCCTTTCGCGTGTTTCGGCGGTCTACCCAACCTAATCCGACAATGCAACAAATGGTTTTCATTTGCGGGCAGGTGCCCGGAAGCTACTTCGAAGTTAATCATGGCTGGGAAAGTCGCTCTTTGAAGGAAACGTTTTAGTGGTTTATTCATTTCAATCTTTGGTCTTTTGCTGACGATGTGGTTAAGGATTAGTAACCTATATTGGGTGAAAAATTATTATGTTCTGCGAGCGCAGTACTACTCCAATTGTAATTGAGGACAATTTGAGTAATACTGCGCCCAGGTAACATTATTTTGTTGTGGTTGCAAAAGCGTTCTCGGATCGTTTGGGACATCATTCATATACGTCCATTTCTGTATTTATCTGAGAAGTTTACGTCCAGTTATACATCCTTTTCACAATATAGGTTGTAGTTTAGTGAATTTGTTGTTTTTTTTTTCAATATTATTGCGTTGTTGATTGCATTACTAGCGATGTCATTGTTGTTTATAAAGTTTCGTTGTATTGTTATTATTATCATTGTCGACGTTATCACATCTTACTCTTTCAATTTCAGTAAGTTTATTTGTTTTGTTTCGTATCGTGTATTCTCTTGAGATGTTCTTTGATTGATGTTTTTGCAGTTCGTTTTTCATTTATATTTATAACAGCCTCACATGTTTTTGATTTTATTCTATAATAATTGTTTATATGTATGTATATGAAAGTCCAAACGGGCATTCGTGAAGAGTTAAATATATACTTATTTTAATTCCATTTTTTCGTACAGTCTTCTCTCACAATTGCAACAGAATGCTATCAGTGAGACTTGATGGTATCATTTGTAAAATATTTATGAGAGGTACGTGAATATAAGTTATAGTTATAAGAATAGTGATAATGATAATAGTTATGCAATCTTATTCAATTGCATTCGTTTTAGTGCTTTGGTTCAGAAGTAATGAATTCATGATTATACGTAGTTGCAGTTCAGATTTATCCCATAAAAATGAATTCTGGTATCTAGCTAGGTTTTCATACCGAACTTCCTGCAAATGGGAGTCGCTCATTCGTGTAAGTTTAGATGAATCACTAATAGTCGTCAGTGCCGTTGACATCATCACCTTTAATTTCTCATGATGACGGCATCTGTTCGCCAGTTTTCAGCTAATCTCACAATTAACTAGACGTTGTTTTGCAAATGCCTGACAAAACAACTGACGAATCTCATGTGATACCTCAGAACTGCTTGCAAATATATCGTGGCATACCTTCTGAAAGTTAGGAAAGTCTGAGTAATACAGCTAAAACATCCACACGTAGTTTGGCAAACCTGGGCCGCACATTGAATATTTTCATAGCGATAGCAATAATAAAAATAAGAACAGTATTATAACAATAACGATAATAATAATAACAATAATATCAGTAATAATAATAACAGTACTAATAATAAATGATTTTTCATTACAATGAATTGGAATCGCAACAGTACACTTATTGTACCTCAAAAACGATATCCTTCAGCTCATAACCAAATTAACATCTATACTGCAATTCAAGTGAATGCTATTTAAGACGGATTCATTTCAGCTTTTATCCGTATGCATTTGACCTATACTGCGCAACAGCTCAGTACTGTGTAGTATGGATTCATCTGCCTGACAACGAGTGTAAATTTGCAATTGACCTATTCTTCACCTCACCTCAGGTGAACCGAATGTATTTGTAAAATGAATCCAAACAGTACCCAGTTGTTGCTTAGTGTCTGTCATTATTTGTAAAAATGAAATTTGTTGTGTTTGTCAACATTTGTTTCTGGATCACAGGTAGCAGCGAGCTTGGCCATTACTTAAATTGAATTGATTTCTACTTAAATTATTCTGCATGATCGAGAAAGCAGTTGTTAATATGTGGAGAGAGCCGTGGCACAATGCCTTCATGCATGCGATGGCTGACGCGTATTCTGTGCGTGTTAGACCACACCACCTCTCTCCCTGACGTAAACTGTAGGATTGACCGATGGGTATACCAGAGGTTCAAATTGTTTTCCTGCGACCTTTCAGATAGTTTCATGTGTAACTGATTTTCCTTCTTCAGCACTTCATTGACTGCTCCATATTCAGTGTGGGGCGAGATGACCTGACACATTTTTAGGTTTAATGAAAGCAAAATAGAATGAATAGTGCATGAAAAGTGTTTTGTTTTCCAGAAATGAAATGAAACAATGGTATCATATGTACGTTTGTTAAGAGAAAGTGATGAAGTATGGGAAAACGTGACACTCATAGATGGTTATTTAATTAATCCATAGCATGCCAAGGGTGCAGTATCATCAGCATATTCCAAATTAGTCATATGTTTATTGAATGGGTAGAGTTGGATGCCGCTGTCATAGTTCGCAAATACATGCTTTAAAACCTGGTCAGTTACAAAATTGAACAGAAATGGACTCAATATCGAAGCCTCATGTTAAGATTGAGATACCAGTCATTCTTTTCTTATCATTCATAGCCTCACTAGGTGATATTTTATCCGGGTAGCATTGCGAAACATTCCGTTTTGAGAATGATTTTCTAGATCGTTCTTCTCTTAATGATGCGACTAGACACTGAAATAACAATAACAGTGACACTGAAGTAACAATAACAATGACACTGAAGTAACAATAAGAGTTACATTTATCATTTTATAGATTTTCGTCAGTCACTTCAACAATGTCGAAGATGAAGGAGCAGACAATAGATTTTATGCGTCGTTTCATCATCACAGAAGCTGACTTAACTGAAAACAATTTTGCCGATCAATTTGCGGTTAATTGTTTATTTTTGAAAGCTTGTCTCATCAGTTTTAGCAGGTCAAATTCCAATTCTTATCACCGTTACTGTTGATCGTGTGTGAAGAGAATGATTTCAGCAGATTCGTTCGGAGCAGGACACGTTTCGTTCGAAAGCTGAATATGCTTCAAAAATTGGTGCTGATGCAAAGTTTATCTCGAAAAACAGATATCGAGATATCATTCCGTGTAAGTTTTCGCATCACTTTTATTGGTATGCATGATGTTATCCTTATTATGCTGTTAATATTATTCTCAATACAGATGATAAAAATCGTGTGAAATTATGTTCAGCACCTGTTGTTGGTGTATCGTCCAGCATAGCTAACCACTTATCGGCACCTTCAAATGACGCAGATGATACGCGTTATATTAACGCTTCTCATATCGAAGTGCCACCAGCTGAAGCAAAGTAAATTTGTGTTCAATTTTGTTTTGTAGTTATTCTGTTTTGATAGGATGCAAGAATAAGCGAGTTGCAGATATATAGCAGCTCAAGCACCATTGCCCTCAACGCTAGATGATTGGTTTGATATGATTCGTGAAAATGACGTCAGTGTGATTGTGATGCTTTGTAAATTGGTTGAAGGCGGACGAGTGAGTTTGTTAAGGTTATGTGAATGAATTGCAAACAATTATAAGTAGTTGTTGCAGGCGAAATGTGAACGTTATTGGCCCGAAGAAGTGAATAATGATAAAGATTACGGGCGGGTGGTGGTGACTTGTGTGCATGAGGAGAAGTACGACGAGTTTTGGCGTCGAAAATTGAATCTGAAATGGAATAGGGATAATGTTGAAACCAGTATTGAACAATTACATTTCACAGAATGGCCTGATCACGGCTGTCCGCAGTCTGAGGAGAATGTGCTCAAAATGATAGAGTTATTCGACAAAATGCATACTGAAAAACCAAAAAAACCGGTGCTTGTTCACTGCAGGTTCGTTTCTTGTTATTAATTATTGACTCGTTGATCATTATTGTATTTTCAAGTGCTGGATGTGGTAGAACCGGGACGATCATAGCTGCGAATGTGATCAGGGAGATAATAAATAATCAGGTATTATAATTAATGTTTCATTGCAATGTATTCCACACTAACGACTTATGATTGCGATGAATATGATGCATACATATGACATTACCGTCCTCAACTTCTTTCCGGATAGAAGATCACCAAAGATATCGATTTGTACAAACTCGTAATGGATTTACGCAAGCAACGACTCTCAATGGTTCAAACTCCAGTTGGTTCTTTTTTTATTCAAGGTTGTCTAGNCTAGATACAAAACTTTATAATCACCAGAATATCAAAGGGTGGTGATAATTCACCGCTTGAACTCCACCTTTTACTTTACTTCCACAGAGTAGGGATGGAATAATCTTTTGGAAATTTGATGAGAGTTAAAGCAAACCCAAAAATTGTATTTGCAATGCAGGATCAGTATCAGTTCTTGCACAAACTGGTGAAACGTTTCTGTTGTGATAAGTTGAAGGAGTGGGATGTGGAAGTTCCTGCACCAGCAGCATCCCCCACTGATAATAATATTCATGGAAGTTCGGGTGACCAACTAAACGATAGCGACGCAGGCAGTACAGCTGATAAGACGGTGAAAGTAAGTATGTGAATAATTGTTTATAATTGACAATGATTCAATAAAATTGACTGAAAATTTAAGTGAATGAATAAGGGTTCAAAATCAAGCAAAGTTGCTTGTCTTTTTTTGTTTTTGCTCAGTTTATACGTTTGGTGTGATAATTTTTTAAGGATCTTAATAATGAAAATATTGCGAGACTTGGCTCGTATTCCCCACGTTCACGCACAAAACAACGCACTGGAAGTAGCGATAATGATGGTGTGGCATCTAACATGATTGTGATTCCTGGTCAGAGAATCTCATTTTTATCGTTGTTGCGATTGCTATTATTATTGTTTTGTCCGGTCGAGAAGGAACTTATTTATAGACTACCCGATCGAACCAGATGCAAGACCAACTGGTCCTGAAGATTTGCCCGATATTTCGAGTTAGGAGGATATGACGACTGTGCTCACTGGGTAATAAACGGTCCTCAAGCGTTGAACTAATATTCGATTTCGATTTGTTTGTGTATTTGTGCATTACTCTGATTTGCTAATTTATTTTGTTCATTCATTATTGCTGTATATGAGACGCGACCAATCGCAAACATTCCATTCATTCATTCCCTATATGTGCATCTTTTCGTGCATTATTATTATTATGATCGTTTCTATTGCAACTGTTTTGAGCATTTTCAGTTTTGATCGATTGACATAAGATCATCATCATCATCACATCCCAACACTCAGTCACTTATCGTTGTTTATTTTTCTTCACATGCTCAATTAATTGCTTCAATTATCTATTCGTTTGTGTGTCGGACGTTTTGTTTTTAATCAAATGTAATTATGAGGTACATGATCAATGTTTTAATTATATTATGCTGTTGTTGAGATGATTTTAACCTTGATATTTTGTCACTAATAGTTAATTGGTTGATGTTGTTATTTTTATTGATACATCAATCGATTTTGAGTGAAACATCCCGCCGTCAGGGGGATCATACCTGCGACGAACTAATTTCTGATCGGGTATGGTACAAACTTAGATAGTTCTTAGATGCTGGATGCCCCTAGGTTATTCTTATTTTTCTTTTTGTTTATTCTTCATTTTCTCGTTTGTTTCGCCCAAATAAAATCATTGTCAAAGATTTTTGGTGTAGTTAACTTGTTTTATTTTTCGAAAACGATTCCAAGAGGTCGTTTCAGGATGATACCAAAACGCCGAAATACCGAACTTATTATAGTAACATTTGGTTGATTCTTGCTTGTTACTTGTCTATAAATCAGGATTTGTTGATTTGAGTTGTTTGTCATTTTAATGAAGATGAGCCAATCTGCATTAGTCGGAGGTGGGCACTAGCGCGCTATTCCAGTACTAGCTGAGCTAATTTTTTCGGTAGCACGATAATGCGCTATTTTTTTAAATAGCAGGACTTTGTAGTGATAATTTCCGCTATAATAATTTTTGAGCAGCATAAATTAGCGATAATTTATGCTACTTTCTTTGGTTGGCGTTTTAGCAATCAACTTTTTTTGGAAATTCCGCTAACATGTTTGCGAGTGAGTGCGTATGTTTTCCAACATCAGAATATCTAACTATATATTTGGGCTGTAACATTGACAATTACTAAATTCGAACTTACGGAACTAACGCTTTTCCGAACGATTAGAAGTTGAGTATTCAATCATACCTCAATTGTTCGCTATAAGTACACCACTAGCATTCCATTTGAGTTTACTGAGCTATTAGACTTCAAATAACCTGGGTGGGAGTGCTGTAATGTTTTCTTTAATTTTGTTATCGCTCAGAAAGGATATGACTGATATTTATTCGCATAACGATATGTGCAGCTGTGTTCGGTGTAAATGATTTGTTTGGAGCAATTGTGAGGAAACATTATATTGGGACAATACATTCCAGACTCTAATGATTACGTTTGCGAGTGAGAGTTTTGTAGTGTTATTTTGCAACGTTTGGCAGCGAATTTAACGGAATTATTTTAGTAGATTCGTTCATTGCTTACGGAAAATTCGAAAATTTCTTCCGTTGAGAGGTTGATCTGACGTTGAATAATGTTACAGTCTGTTCAAAGATCAGTGTGAAATCTTCGCAGTTTCAAAGTTTGCAGTCCTTTTTTTNTTTTTTTCGATAACCTCTCCTGGCATTCGGATGTGTTATTAGATTCCCCACATTACCTCTTCAAGACGAAACGTGTTCTTCGAAGGTTTTTAACGACGTTAACGAAGCGTTTGTCACCGTATTGTTCAGGGAAAACCAAAGGGAAGAGGCGTATTCTAGGGTGGGGAACTTCAGGTCACATACTTTGCTTAGTAGGGATAAGGTATTGAAGCTGAACATTCTCAGTGTGAGTGATGCTCTGATGTTAGCTTTTCTAACTATACTGGAAACGTGATGATGGCATTTCAAACTTATGACATCTTGGTCTTGGTTGAATGAGGAGGGAGCTAATTCTTGGTTTTGGATGTTGGTTTTTCGACGGAAGCCAATCAGATGAGGCGGTTATTAGAATTGTTCTTACCAATTCTAATCAGTTTCTTTTGTTCTAGAGCTAGTGATAAAAGCCAAATAGATGAATGCTGGTTTTTGAACTTAAATATTCCAATTGTAAATTGTGGTATATGAAGACTAATATTGTCCGCGAAAATGAAACATATTGAGTCTGGAAGAAGGCAATTTGGAAGACGTTTAGTAAGGATAAGAAAGTGAGGAGAAACTTGAGGAACACCACTGCTGATGTATTCTGACGAACTGGACGAATCAATAACTTGGACTGATTGATAACGTTTCGTTAGAAAGTCTCTGATTGATTCAGTTAGCCAGATGACCTCGTTTGCCATAATTTAGGTATGGATACTTAATCAGACGCTTTAAAAAAAATCGAAATATACTGTCAGTGTAGCCTCTGTGGTCTAAATGAAATACCCAGTTTTGTTAGGATCAAAGTGGAACCGCAGTGATTGATCTCCTGTCTAGAAAGGCACATTAATAAGATGGGGTGCTAGTTTTGTGGATCCATTTCAGAATTTTTTCTACATGTAGATGTGATAATCGCTGATTTTCATCTAAGATGACTGAGCTAGGCAATACCACAAGATCTAAACNNNATCTAAACGATCCAGAATTTCAGACGAAATGCTCAGCGTGTTGATGGGAGTGAGAAAGCATAATGTGAGCTGTGCCAATTGACTGCTTTTTATGTTCGAATTCTGCTGTTGTCGTTTGGTTATTTTCTCATTGTTGGAGCTTGCTTTACTATTGACTGGCGCTTGTTGTTGGAATGATTATCTGTTGTTGGATGATTCAATGAAAATTTTCAACAATAAATGGTGCAATTGCATGCATTGTTTAATGGCGTAGTATGGCTTTTTCCGATACAAATAAGTGGTGCAATTGCGATTTTGACGAATGATTCAAAAATAGTGATTAGAGGACTAATTTTGCTAATTAGCGTTTTAGCGGAAATTTCCCGCTGCTTTTTCCGGTTAATAACACTTTCAGCGAAATTTTTCGCAACATTTTCGGCGATAACAATGAACTATTTTAAGCAGAACAAAAGTATTTTTTAGCGAAGCTGCGATTAGCTGAGATTCTTTTTTTTTTCAGTAGCGCGTATCACTGGAATTAGCCACTTGCGCATAAGTTTTATCAAATTAGTTTGTTTGTGTGTTAGCATTGCGGGTATGGGTTTTAGTTGGCGTCTGATTACGAATCGCAACGATCAATTTTTGTTGTTACTGTTCGGGATGAATCACTGAGGGAATACTTCCAATGAACTGTAAGTGTTAAGTTTATTTAAGAAGGCTGAATATTTTGACTAGGTTTTTCATTTCCAAAACATTATTTTAAACTGGTTATTTACATACATATTACTTTTAACAATTGCTAGAGCGGTTCGATATTCGAGCATACCTGCGGGTACTTCACAAGTGAGCAACTTCAGAGTGTTCACTTTCAAAATATCAGATAACACGAACCTTGGTATAGGTCTAGAGAAAGATATCTATTCATCTGAGATCAGTCAGTATTTTAGCAGGAAAAGAACAAGACAGAGTGCACAGAGACAGGGAAAGTCGTTGTGGAACGCTGGTTCGCCCGCATGGCATGCGCTGTGTGTAAGGGTGCCGATATCGAGAAAGTATTTGAGGATAACGCACTCTCGTCTGGTCTCGTCACGTCTCAGCTAGTCTAACTGTGTTATGAGCTATATTCATTAATATGTATTATATAAACATAAATATTCATATGTATGTATATCCAGCACCCCATTCAACAGCAGTGGCAGCAGCATCGATATGATGTTGCAGCTATCCATATGATGTTGCAGCTGTGTGTATCAGTCATTCAGTTCACGATGAGATGAGCTAAACTGGTTGTTTCGTTAGTCGGTTGCTTTCATAGTCGTGAATTTTCGTTGATCGTATTCGAAAGGTTAGCAGCATCGTGAACAAGGAATAGTTTAATGCCTAGACATGCATTGATTTAGCGGTTTAATGTTATCATTACTCAGGTATGCAATCATTCCATTCATTTGTTGCCGTTGTTTTCTTATAGGAAAAGAAGAGGGACGTGAAATTTTCGTGGTTTAGTTCGACTTTCATATTGTTAATATTATTGTTATTGTCATTATTGTTATTATTATTAGTGATCGAATGGAAGAATTAGCGTTGTAAACAGAGGTCTCTTTAATTAATATTTTTCATCCCAAAGTTAGCGTTAAACGTAGCGAACCACTTTTACGCAACGCAGTGTGTACGATGATATTGGCGTACTATCGATTGATTATATTTAGGTGACAAGTACGCGTTGTCGTGATTGTAGTGTGTTGCGTTTAAAATTGTTCTTCTAAAAAATGACTGACGAAAGAACACAGCTAATGGTACTAATCAGCTTGCTGTTTCTCGTTCGTTTGTTGTGTTCTGCTGCATTATCGAGATTGATTGATTGATAGGGACGATTATGACTTTTGTTTATGTATATCGTTTTATATGAAGTGTAGCATCGACGTGGTGCTGATCGATACTAGATAGGCAGATTGAGAGAACCAGATAAATACGTAGATTGATAGATAAATACATCATGTAATACTCTCGGAGTGATAAAATGAATTGAGAGGTGGGAGGGCTGCATTGCGGCTTCTTGTTTTAGTATTAGTATCATTTTGTAAATGCACTGAACGCACAAACAATGAAATGCACGTAAAGCTCAAACGATCACGTGAAAGAATGCAGTCGAAATTCTTAGAGACACACACTCCGATCGATATTCGTTGAGCGTATATAGTTGTACATGTATGAATTGCAGTGTACATATATTCATATGAATACATACGAGTATTTTATAATATGTAAGCTATACACGATATGTTTTACTTTATCCACAAATGTGTATATATTAAAGAGAAAACTTCCGGTCATCTGGCCCATTTTCTTCTGTCTCTTCCGCTTCTGACCTTTTTCTCCGAAAAGCGCTCCAATGTGATAAATAGGGATGACTATTTCATAAATTTTATATAATATATGTGAAAATGACTCCAAAGTTATTCACTCAGCACCATGCATCTCTAAATGCTGCATATAGCGTTGGCTATTTCATACGTCCCTACAACTTCTCTCGCTGAATTCATTTCATGTTGTAAAATTGCTGCAGTCCTGTTGATTAAACTACGAAGAATTTCTTGATGTGCCAGAAGAAGTTTAAATATGTTTCATGTTTTTTTATCATTCATGTTTCTTCCATATAGCTCACTCACGTCTGCACTATGCATTCGATTACATACGCTTTTTTTATATCAAGTAGTTATCAAAATAAAATGGTTTGTTATCGTTTTTCTCAACTGTACCAACATCGCGAAATTTATTAATTCTGATGTCATAATGACAAATTTAATGTCATGTAACTTTTGCTGCCATACAGTCCCAAACGCTGTGCACTTAAATAATCTGGTTAAGGTCTTTTGGTATTTTTTAGCTTTCTGGCTCTTCCGGCCCTTTATTCTAGAAAAATTTTTATTTCGGTTTCGGCGTTTTTTTTGTTCTTGTTCGATCCGTATTTCATGTGTTATTTGATTGTGCTATCTTATGAAGTTGTTGTAGAATCTGGTTCAGGTGTTCTGTTGTATATTGTCCGTGGATAGGTTAAAATTGTTTCGTTCATTAATGGTTTGATGTGTTGGACGAATGAAATGTGATCAGTTGAATTTCAGAAGGAATGTCTGGTGGAGGTGTTAAGAATCGTCGTATCTCGTTGGGCTCACCGAAAGATTTAAAAGAAGTTCACTTCTTTGAAGAAGAGTCCATCCCAGATGTACCATCGAAAGGTGCACGTGTCAAGGCGTGTTAAATAATCGTTTATTCAGTCAACTAAGCAATTTTTCGTTTGTTTATTTTGATAATCATGCTAACAGAAGCGTAAAAGTATGAATAAAGTATGACTTTTCGGAGTTCAAGGGCGGTCTAGTAAACAGATAGATACAAGAATGCGCATGTAATAGAACACGCATAGTGCAACCCATAATTGATGTAAATTTTGGAATGTTCTTAAGTTAAATGGGGAAACGTTTCATCAAATTAAGGTGTGCTATGCGGGAGTGTGCTTAACTGATCGTGAAGTTACGAATACAAAACAAGCACGAATTACAAATGGTATCAAAGATACATCGCTTTTCCCAGGTTATTCCTTCTTCTTCGTATCGAATTTTACTTCTATCTTCAGTCAGTTTTGGCTGTTGAAATAAGTCTTTTATGTTCGTGTGTTGTTGAGTTTTACATTTGAAACATGTAGGTAAAAGACGCTTACTTACTATTTCGTTGTGTGGCATTGCATAGTTTCATATCATGGTCCACCTCATATTTCGTTTGTTAGTCGTAGCTCAGATTTAGACCGTATCGTTGGCTAGTTCCTCGTCACCTCTCTAAGTAAGTTGATTCTTTGATTTGAAATAATAATAATTATTATTATTATTCGATTTTATTTTACAGTTTAAAAGTCGATTTTTCAAAAGTTTTAAATTGAGTTTAATTTACCTTAAGTTAAATTTAAAAGTAATTTAAATTGAAAAATTGAACTGAATTTGATTTTTGAATTTTGAAAATCAATCAGCGATTTTAAAATCATTAAGATATCTTTCTTGCTTTGATTTTACGTCGTTTTTGAAATGTTTTGGATGTAAACATAAACGTAAAATATATTGGATGTTTATCGTTAAGGTTACGAAGTTTCGGGAGTAGTTGAAGCTTTCGGCGACGAGACAAATCCGACAGAATTCGATCTGAAAATTGGTGATAAGGTTAGTGGATTTGTTCACTGATCGAGTGATATGTGATATGTAATGTGATATCGAACGGTTAAAGGTGATCGTATGGCCAACGGATGAGATGTGTCAACACGGTTATGCGGACTTTGTCACTGTTCCAAGTCTGCAGTTTCTCATCAAAATTCCCGAGACACTTTCTATGCATGTCGCGTCGATTCTACCAGCAGGTGCCACTTGGGCGCTCTCTGCAGTTATTCAGGTTGCTTATTCAGTTTATCAACGAGATGGCAATACCAGTAACAATTATAATGAAGTGAATGAAAATGCAGGCAAGACCAATTGTGGAAGCATTCTCGCAGTCAAAAGGCTTTTGCAATATACTGATTGTCGGGGCTGGTGGTCTGGGTTTGTGGTTGTTGAAGTTGGCCAAACATTTCCTTTCTGGACATCAAGACAGGAAAATCAAGGTTAGGGTTATTTCGCTCATCACGCGGAAAGAGAATTTGTTTTTGGTCGTTCATTGATCGATTCGTTCTAAAATACAGATAATGGTTGCGGATGCACGTGAAGAGCGTTTATGTTTGGCTGAAAGAAATGGTGCGGATTTCGTTGTTCATTGGGATGATTCAGGTTGGTTGATTGGCACATTCTGTGTTTTACTTAGTGAGTGGGTAATAAGAAGTTTTTAGAATTCGAGGAATATCTTATAATGCGGACAAAAGATGTGGCCAGAACGGGCGTTCAGGTGGTATTTGATTTTGTCACATCGCCACGTACTGTTACACGTTCACTGAAATGTCTTGCTGAGGTGAGTAACGTTTTTTAGGAATTGAATATGACTTTAATTGGTGAACTGAGATATGAATTTATTACAGGGCGGTGTTCTATTTGTGGGTGGTCTTTCCGGTCTAGACGTTCAACTGCCAATCAAGCTGGTCGCACGTAATCGTCTCGCGATAATGGGTGTTACGCGCGGTTCTATCGAGCAACTGAAGAATTTGGTTTGTCTCATTGCCGGCGGTCAGATTGATGCACCTGACTACAGAGTCTATCCGGTCAATCAAGCTTCACAGGTGCTAATCTCACCCACTGTTAATGATGAATAATAGATTTGCAAAGCGATTAATCGTTGTCTTTAAGGTACTGAAACAGCTGAGTATGTCAGAAGTGGAAGGTCGCGCTATCTTAGAGGTGTGCGATCCGAACACAGCACTTCAACCAAACGCGACTGAAACGCACTGAAAATGATGAGTAAAGGAAGAAAACGACTATTGTTATTGTTGGCAGAAGATGGATGGATTGAATCACTTCGAATTATGATCATTGTTTCGTTTGTTGTTCGTAATCAGTTACAAATGTAAAGTCAGCAAATTTACTTAGAAAACATTTATTTTCTCCGAAACAAAGATCAGTGAATTTCTGTAATATGTACTGCTGTCGTTAGTCATAGAATCGGGTGTCAGTGTGAATTTTTATTTCGTTATTTGAACTTTGTTTTCTTTTTCTCGCTTTCTATTTCATTGTATTTACTTATCATTATAGTCTTTTAAATTGCTGAAAGCTCCTCATCTCTAGGGCGCATGGCGGCAATAGGCGAATCAAAACACTAAGGTTATGTTGTTGACAAAAAATTGCCTGCGTATTAAGAAATATTACAACGATGAACATCATCATGATATTTCTTACTGCGCAGGTAATCTTTTGTCAGCAACATAATCTCATTTAAACTGCTGTTCCGACTGATGGCGGCTGATTTATTCAATCGTCATTCGATTACACTGTCCAACAAAAGTTTTCAAAGATAACCAAATACTGGGCCTAAAGCTGTTTTTTGCTTATGTTACGGTAGTGAATTTCATTTTTAATTATTGGGCACCTGTTTTCCGTGAATTACGAATGAAATTTTTTTTCGCTTGAAAAAATGTATGTTCATAAATTGATACAGTGCCATATTGACTGTTCAGTCCGGAACATGCTGCTGATATTCTGGGGTTGTTTTTCTGGCAGAAAACGGCTATCAATCCCGATACTCACGAAGCGACTCTGTTTTTTTATTACATCGGAATGAATATTTCGAAATTTCTGAAAAAAGACTGACTTTGGAGCGGTGTCGAATGCAGTGTAAAAAATAGAGCATTTCAAATTTGCATAGCAACTACTGTAATGATGTGCCCAGTAATGACTTGTGGCAGTTTTGAAACTCTTTAAACAGCGCCGTATTACCATTACAGTATAATTCATACACTTGACAAATATTGATCTACATTTGTGAGCGGAACGTGTACATTACGACTGGAACTGTTCCAAGCTTTAACTTTTTCTCAAAATTTTGGTAAGTTCCGTTTAGAAATCGTGGAAGAATATGGTCATTTCGTGAAGAGCTTCCGTTTTCTTAACTCAAAATAGCTCGAGAATATCAATTTGTTGTTCTCGGCTGGATAATCACTATTGCACATTGTCGGCATAAAAATGTATGTTTGTACTGGTGGGAAAATTTCAGTTTGAATTTGTGGAAAGTTGGTGACTTCCCATGGAAAGTGAAGTTCGTTCCCGTAATCTGGGCAAAAAAATTGCTCGAGAAGTTGACATTCATGTTTCTACGGAAAAAAATTTAAGTTTTTGTTGGGCAATGCTGTTATATAAAATTTCATTTCATTTCAAATTTGCATATTTACGTTTGAAGTTTTGTTTATTTACTAACGATTGTTTGATTAGAATTACACACTTATTGTTATTCTTCTTCTCATTATTATTATCATTGTTTAAATTAGCATTGTAATATCAGTGCTGTTCTGCCATCTGTCTGTGTCGCATTACTTATCGGTTCTAACGATTTCGTTTCATTTGATTTCTCACTGAAATTTCTTTATTATTATATTAATGTTATCATTATACTAAATCATTGAGCGAACGCGAATATTCAGTAGTAATAGCGTTTAACATTATTTAATATCGTTCAGTCGTCGTTTAATTCATTCTATCTTGCTTTACTTGCTTCTTTCCTTTTTTCACTGAACACATCGATATACAAATTTTGATTAATTAATTCATTTATTATCAATCTAGCTTCGTCCCTATACATATACAAACAGTTATTTTTGTTGTTCATCGTCATTTCGTCGACAGATTACAAGTCAAAATAAACCGAAATGGGGTTGGTTAGTTGTATGATCGGATGAGCTGTTTTCTGCCGATCACAAATGGGTTTCATTGAATCCTATGTAATAATATCTTTTATCATTGCGTGTTTATGTAATTGTGTATGCGTATCTTTCCATTATTTGATGATTAGAATCAATGTTAGTATTGATTAGCATTTAAAATGCTTACTCACCCTAGTCTAGCAGCAGCAGAAGAGATAGAACAGCGGCAAAAATCTGCGGTTCTTTGAAGAAGTGTTGCAAAAACTGATTTACGTAGTATCAGTGCCCAGCTTCAAGCATAAAGCTTGAGCCTGAGCCCAAACCCCGCTAAACCAATTCTTAGCTCACTCGGGTCGGTTCGCGCGAATAGACAGTTTAGTATCCACGCATTGTTTTGTATTTGGCGAAGTCTCTCTGCACTGTTGTATAGGACTTGAAGTCCTCAAATTTGTGCTACTGATGGAAACGATTGCCTCAATTTGCGCATAAGTGGGTCGGACTTGTCCTATGCCACTGCTGTGTGAATGACAATGATGTAGTTCGTAAAAAGATTCATTACAATTTGTTGTATTTGTTGATAATGAAGATAATGCAGATATATTATTTTTATTTTGAATGTTTTCATGTGTATCATTGTTATTGAAAGCGTGTTGTTTGAGATGGCGTTTCTTCATTGTATTCATTCAGTTATTTTTAGTTGTAAGATTATTTTTCCATCATAATCTTCATCAAGCTGTGTATTGCAGGTCATAATAATAGCAGTAATAAAAATCAGTCATTGCACGATTCTAGCAAATCTTATACAGTTCGATACAACCGATAATATTTTCGTTATTTATGCATTCGCTTTACTTCTCAATTCATTGATTCATATGTCTGTTGGGTATATTTGTTGATTCATTTGACAGTGGGCGTATTTCTTAATGGGTGTGTGGATTGTCAGGTAGATGCTGCTTGCATGTATCTTTTCGAATGTTCATCTTATCACTTTTTATTTGCATAATTTCTCTAATCATTCGCTTAATCCTGGTTGCACAGTCAGCCAACTGCAGCAACATGATAGCAGTTTGTTATGAATCATTTGTTTTAACATCAATTCAAAAGCGCAAGAGGTACTTGTATAGACAGTTCTAGTCTCGGTTCAATTGTGTTCTCTTTATTTTTTAATTTGATTGTCTTCGTGCATATCATACCGTCTTATCAGAGTGATCATTACTGGTGACTGATAAATCGGTCGTTTATGTGTTGGCGATCAATGTTCATAGAAAGAAGTTTGTATTCGTTTGATTTGATTCAGTGTGGGTATTTCTGGAGTGAATGAGAGTTGAATTAGAGTGCATTAATGAGATGAAAAAGAATGAGAGTGCGGCGGCAGTGTTATCAATACTATGTTGAGAAAAACACTGCCGTGGTGGTGTTACTGAGTATTACGAAATTACTGAGTCATCATTTATTTCAAGATCACGAAAAAGTAGATTTGTCATGTCGTCATGATAATAACTAGCTTTTTTCCTTTCCCCTACCCCTTCCTCCTCCACACCCGATTGCGTACGTCAGTGAGTTCTCGACTCGATCGTAGTGTTGACATTACTATTATTATTATTGTTGTTATTATTGTGATTGCCAACATCATAGTAAGTTCCGAATGGAATAAAATGCGAAACAGTTGTGAAATAAAGCAAAATGATGGTGGCGGCGGTAGAAAATATTACGAAACCAACCAAGCAACCATTAAGCGAACCACTCGTCTGTCTGCAAAGCAACCAAGACACTAGGCTGCCTCTGTTTCTTTTATTTCTATGACTCATTCTTTCTACTCGTTTATAACTCATTCATTGAATTTCGTTAGTCAGTTACTGCCAATTTTCGCAAGTATTTCATTCGGCTGACTCATCATTTTCGTCATAATCGCCGATAGGAACAGATGGATCGTGATCATAGGAAGATGAAAATAAAATTTGTTGTGATTATTATGTGAACTGCAAACAAACAAATGAAGTAAGAAATGAGCAAGTGTATGTTTCAATTTCAGTTTATTTTGTAGCATGATGCCTATTGTGTTGTTGAACTTTTGGATATTGATTATTATTGATTACGGATGGTGATGTAATACTTGTGCAGAAATCGAATGAGTAATAATGTTAATAAATATGTAAACAAAATGAGGACTGACGATATAAATGCGTTCGTATTTAGGTAAGGCATATTCCAGTAGGGTTGCTTCCTAGCGTGTATCATTCATTCAATTATTCGGATGTTGAATTGCATGCACCCACCCGACCGAATATTAAGGATAAACATATGGATTGGTTGAATGATAGAAAGATGATAATCGCTAAATGGTGTGTTGGTACTGATGAAATTCGATGAGTGTGGTGATGATGATGGCGATGATGAGTCATCCTTCCTTTCGCTTTCCCTCCCCCTTCGATATCATTCCTATCTTCAGATTTGAAATATTTCAGTCAGTCGATCAACTAATCGTGGACTTGAGAGGTCGGGAGGGTTGCTGCCGTCGTTAACAAAGTGTTGGGGTTTTGATTCATGGGATTGCGATTTGAGAGAATGAATCTGAATCACTTAATTGTTATTTTGCTGCAGCAGCTGGTATTATTATGAAATCATGTACGTTGTGATTGGTGAATGAGTGATATTATGAGTGTGCGCTGGATTGAAGAACAACGCATTTGATGTTGTGTTGTTGCTTGTGCAGCTATTGTTAATGCTGATGATGAGGAGTCGTTTTATTGATATCTGAAATATTGAATACTGAAGCGGTGTGTAACCCATTACAAATACCAGCCAGCAAAGTACTACCTACCGGCCGACGGTTAGGCTTTGTACTTCGGCTATGGTGCTGCAGTACTATTGAAAACAGTACCACAGTTGAGTGCAACGCTGAATCGTTTCGGTTTTTGTTGATGTAATTGCATCATCATTTGTATCGTTATCAATATTATCCGCTCATTGTTTGATTGATTACTGCTCAACCTTTTCGTTTAACTGATCATCGTTCATTCAGCGATCAACTAGGTAAATGTATTATTATTACGATTGTTATTATTAAATATTATTTATTATTATTATTGCTTATAACGTCATTCAGTTTTGCCTTTTAATGTGTTTTTTCATTGCGTATTATTTGTTTCCGAACTGAAGTTAAAGTTTAGCGAGTGTACTGAGCAAAGATGATCACCGCCAATATGGCGAATTCGTTGAATCATACGAATGATTGATGGTAAAGACGATAAGTTCGTTGAGTGGGGCAACGTGTGGAAAAAAGTGTTCAGATAGCTGCACATAAAACTTGTTGATTTTCGTCGGTAAATGTTTCGAAACTAGATTATTACTCCTAGATGCAAATGGGCAAGGTTGCCGAGCCCGATGACCGCGCATTGGGATCTAGGAAATCTATTTGTCACGACATCTCCAAATTTTAGCCTGAAATACGTAGACCATGTTAATGGTGACTTGGTGGTGTGATGAGTAAGGTGATCAATCAGTTCTGATTTGTTTGTGGTTTATTTGTTGCATTGGTGAATAAGTTGTTAGCTTGTTTCAGAACCAACTGGCTGCTAGAAAGAAAAAATATAAACAAGTGAATGTACATGCATATATAAGCGGTTATTTTTACTTCGATTTCGGAACGTTCAGATTTTCGTTGAATTGAAAGCAAAAACGAAGAAGACGTTGTTAGGAGAAAGTGATGAAGTATGGGATGAATGAAATAACTTTGCGTTACAGTTATTTTCGTATTATGTGTTCTCTTTTTCACAGACCATCCAGATACTTTTACTTTACTCTACTGTAGAGCTTTGCTGAGGCGACCTCGCTAATGTGCGTCATGGTGTTTGCATATATTCCACCATTTAGTTTTATCGTCAGCTATCATACACATTATATCCACTTTGGACTATTCCAATTAGTGTCAATGTTTCGATCATAATTAGACGTTGCCGTTTTGATTGTCCTATCGAATCGAGCAACTTTCAGATCAGTTTTGATTTGCTGTCTGCAAGTCAATCGCTATATTACTCTCAACTGTTTCTGATTCGGAGACGATTCGTGCAGTAGTGATAACTTTGCTATCGTATTGTCATTACGCCTAAAAATATGCTTAGCGTGGTTCAAACTGTTTTCCTGTGCTTTTTCAAATGATTTTATATGTAATTGATGTTACTTCTTCAAAATTTTATTGACTGTTCCACATAACTATGGGACATATAGGTTCAGTGAAAGCAGAATAAAATAAATAATGAAAAAAAAGAAATGAAACAAAGTGACATCATACGTAATAAAATGTACTCAGTGCGGAAACCTGCCGTACATTCGTGTTAACGTTGAATTGTTGCGATATGCCGGTTTATGTTTCCACCACTGCAGTGTTTGGTATATTTGCGTTGCTTATTAGTTGATCGAAACACCATTGGCTCGGAGTAGTTGAAATAGACGTATGCGACGTGAAGAATCGAAGGCGCACATAAAATCTATGAAAGCGTTCGTTGTAAGTAGACTAGTTGCACCGATTTAGGGTTTAGGATTTCGATAATACACATCAGACTGGGAATTTAATCAGTTGTTGAACGGCCATCTCGAAACCCAGCGTGTTCCTCTCTTTTCGTTCACTGCATATCGAGTGCAGTCGGTCGATAATAACTTCCGAGCGCATTATAGAGTGTTGAGAGGAGTGATATTCCTTTGTAATTATCAAGATCCATTATGATATCATTTTTACATGTAGGAATGATTTTGCGTTTTTTCCAGCTTGTTGGTATTTCTTCAAACTCTCAGATATTTCGTGGCAACTTTTACAATTTGTTCAAACTGGAGAGGAGCAATGCCTCAATCTTGTCGAGTGCTGTACCATCGTCTCTTACAGTCTTCACGTTTTTTTACTTGTTGAACTGCCCGAGGAACTTCTTCTGGTGACAGTGGACTAACAACCACTTCATAAGTCGCGTCTTGTTGGAGCTCAAGTGCTGATCTGGCTAATTCAGGACAATCTGGTTAATTCGGGACCAAAGTGACACTTTCATTGGTTCATACCTTCTCCAACTATCAGTTTCTTTTCTTCTTCTATAACTAGATATTCAGGGTGCCGTTTGGTTTTTCCACTGTAGAGTTTCAGTAGGTTGAATAGTTCCCTGTGTTCCCTTACCAGCTGCATCTTCCATTTCTTTGGTTCTGATGTTCCATTCCGCTTCAAAATCCTTCCGCGGACCTTCTTCACCCGAGCTACCTCGGCCGATTTTTTGCGCCCTAGAATAGATACTTTCGTTGCGAGACGTTCAGACTCCCGACTCAATGATGGTCTTTTTGATGACTGCGGTAGTTCCGGTAAGGCTCGTGCGCGAGACAGCAATGTTCGCGTGACGGATGCAGAGTTAAGATCTCCGTCATTGTTCTTGGTGTATTGGGGTATTTTGATTGCGGCTGATTTCCGGTATTCGTTATCGCCTGACTGTCAGTTTGTATTTGTTCGAGATTAAACAGCGGAAGGTGTTGTATTTTGTGACGATTCGGAAACCTGAGCTTAGTCATAAGAGATGCAGGTGCGTAATCACTGTCGAATGGCGCATTCTAAATACTCCATGGTGCGTTGACCATGTGTGCCCATTTTTTTGGAAATAAGGATTTAGTCAATTTGATTTCTTAGAAGTGCACTTTGTCATTGTTTTTCGTCCGTTCTAATTTGAACATTTCCGCATCAAGATTTTTCTTCAACTTCTCTTCAACGTTGAAGCAGTTACTCACACCTCTGAGCTCACATTCGTTGAGCAGTCTTCTCCCATTTTCGGGATAGAGTGTAATGCATTACAAGCTCGCTCGATGACTCATCCTCTCCGNTGGGCATTACCATCAATTTCCACTATTAATAATTTATTTCATTTAACTTTGTCAATGATCTTGTTGAGACCTCCATAACATAAGTCTTTTTTCATAATCCGCAGCTCTATCTGTTGACGCATATGCGCTGATTATCCGTACCGTTTTAATTCCTCAATTCTTGATCTTAATTCATGCCGACCGTTTGCCCAGGAGCCAAATTCTGTCACTGAATCAACCAGATCACTTCTTACCGCGACGCCACAACCACCTTTCCCATCCCCAAAAACGTGGTAGCCTTTAGTAGGTTCTTCTCCAACTTTTATTGGTGCGGGTAACTTGAATCAACTTCCAATGGAGGCGTTCAGCATTTTGAATGTTTCACTGAGCAGGTATTGACTAAGTTGATTCGTAGGGTATTACAGTCCATTGTAATTATATTAAAGTTATTCTTTCTGTTTGACAGTTGTGCGCCATCATTTGAGTTCGATTATGTTGAGTAGCATCGGGAAAGAATTTGTTCATCGTTACTGTTGATGAACTAGGCCTTGAAGGGAGTTGTTAGGATATTTGGCTTAGTTCTAATGAGAGCTGATGGGGTTTATTGATTGCTTCTGTCATGATTCAATGAATCGGGTGATGGTATGCGTTACCAACTTTTACGTGGCCCAATGAGCCGCATGAGTGACGATTCCGACGGCTGTTGAGTTGATCGCTGGAAACAGGCGCAATCTCGGGGAGGTACCGTCGCTCTATCAACTCCATGCCAACCAGATGGTCTCTAATAAAAGCAGTGGTGCCAAAATTTTGAAATGCAGCAAAATTGTTATGTAAATAAGGATGTTTGTGTGTGTGTGTGTGACTACAACAATGATGAAAACAAGCATAATCGTTTGATGAATATGTTTGGAATTCATTTATTCGTTCATCGACGGGTATCGTGGTTGGTTGATCGCTCGTCTGCTTGCTTTCCGCAGCCACTTTCAATTAACTACAACAAGTACATCCGTTATCTAAACCAACAGCTATAAATACAGGCAAGCAGCATCATATTGGTGCATAGTGCACAAATAAAGTGTTCCTTCCGTCTTTCTCTTTCCAAACAGCAGTGTTTTCCCTTTTGAAAATGATAACAAAGAAAGGATGATTGATTGATAGCGATTATAAGAGTGTAATAATCGAATAAAGGGATTAATGTCGTTACCGGGTAGCGAATTACGTCACCGTCGTTCGACCATTCAAGAAATCGTGCAAAGCTTGGATGGTTTCGATAAGACGACCGAGGATATAAAAGGAGAGAAAA